ATTATTAATTTAATCATATTTTGGGCTATTATTTGGTGGTAGGACTCACTCCAAGTTAGGACCATATGAACCATAGATGTAATCATAAGACACACGATATAAATGAGAATCACATAAATAATTAGAAATACTAATTGACTGTAATTTGTGTCATCAGGAGTGATAAGTGCATGTCTTTCCTCCACCAGTGGTTGAGGTGATGGTGTCGTGGGTTCAGTAGTGGTGGTAGTAGTAGTAGTGGTGGTGGTGTTCAGAGGTGGAGGGGGTTTGGTCTGACGACCAAACAACTGCTTAATCCAGTCATCGATGGCACTAATTACAGGTATTGTCCTATTGTTAACAGTAATCGCACAATTGGTTTGAATTATAAGATTCACACAAATCAATGAGAATTTTATAATTAATCTGTTATTCATTTTGACACTCAATTCAAATACAGATAACTTATTATACAGCAATGAAATCTTTTTGTGTTTAACTTATTTAAGAAAATAGATCTCTAAACTGAAAAAGTTAAAGTATTAGATATATAACTGATTAATCTATATAAATGAATTAAAACTACAAATTTATATTTCAAAAGATTATATACATGTAGATTATTTTGAATGATAAAAATTAACTGTATTTTATTAGGAGCCTAGAAAAATAATCTCGAGAATATGTAAACGGTATTTGAATTCTGTATTACAGATTCTGTAACCAAATTTCTATTTCATACCAAAACTTTATTTCTTTGTTAACTAGTAAAATAAGTTTATAATATAAAACAAATTAGTGTTTTGTCTTTGAATAACTTTTACAAGTAGTTATTTATAATTTAAACATTATAAGAATTAGCATTTGTAGTTTATATTTTAAAACTAATGTTCAATTGACTGAATTTGTTGACTACTTTTCCGGAGGAGATTTACTGAACTCTGTTTTGTGATATTCATTATAGAGACCAATGATATGTTGTATTTCCTCCGTTCCTATCAATAATTGTGATAATTATTCATTTAATCATATTTTCAGTTATTATTTGTTGCAAAACTCACTCCAAGTTAAGACCATATGAACCATAGATGTAATCATAAGACACACGATATAAATGAGAATCACATAAGTTATTAGGGATACCATTGGGTGATAATTGTTGTCATGACTAATAGGAGTGGTTTGTGGACTCGTCTTCTCCACCAACGGCTGAGGTGTTGGTGCCGTGGGTTTAGTGGTAGGGTTGGCGGTGGGCTCTTCGGTGGTGGCGTTCAGAAGTGGACGGGGAGTTGTGGTCTGACCCCCAACCAAGTCAAACAACTGCTTAATCCAATCCCCGATCACATCAAATACACCATCAACTGGCGTGCAATTGGTTTGAGTCATAAGATTCACACAAATCAATGAGAATATTATTTTTAATCTATTTGTCATTTTGACGGATATATTATAAGTAAATCTGTTTGTAGTATATTTGGGAAAATAAATCTAAATTGAGAAATGTTTTTATATAATTGTTTGTATTTATAAAACTAAATATAAGATTATAATCTTAGTATACTAAATGAATAAATGCATTGAAAATACAAAATCAGCAATTGGTTATACAAACTGTAATTTTTGATTTGACAAACTATTGCATTGGTGTTGGGAACAAATAATCGCGTGAAACACAAATTGTAATGAAATGAATTGCATTTGAATTATTGGTATTTGAAATGTTGAATTCTGTGACAGAATTTGTGTTTTTATAATAAACTGTTGTATCAAACACTCGCTCAACTGTACAGTAATTTTATGCTAACTTTCATAGAATAATGTCTTTGAATGGATTACAAGAGTTTGTGTGAAATATCATAAGTTTTTTTTGTGAGCCATTCGATGGCATACTTGAGACAATTGTCGATATTGTTATACAAGGATTGGTTGATAAGACTCGTGAACCCAATCGCCACGATCTTCGAGCTGTTCCCGGCCCTCGTGTTGGCCCTCATCATCGCGTGGTATACAATCAGCACCAAATTCAGTGCATTCAATGCCAACATTGAAGAGCACCACAAACCAGACACTGTCCTACACCTCGATGCCATCCGAGGCCCGTATGCCCTCTATTACACCCCAAACACATCATTCACTTGGGATCTAATAAACACATTGAAGACAATCAGTGGTTGGACTGTCACCGCAATGAGAGACCCGGAAGAGCTCCGGGAGTTTATGAGCAATACGACTAACAATAGTGGGAATACCCGTCTCGTTAAGACAGTTAATGACATCCCAATTAAGACTGAGAATCAGACGGGTATTGTATTTGAGCCGACGATCGGCAAAGAGACCAAACATTTGAAGTATACGTTCATTTGTGGCCGAAGTTTGCTGGATATGAGTCACAGGAAAGATGAAGTCATTGTGTCCGAGAGGTCGCCGTATTTGCCGGACTTCATCGAAACACAAGTCCTTATCAATGAGGCGTTCCTCACAAAAGTGGCCAAAGATTACGGTGTGAACCACAAGAAGACCAACGAGATTGAGTTCTGGATGTTTCCCGGATTCAAAGACTCTGACACCCGGCCATTCAATCGCATGTCCAGAGGTGACCTCATATCGGTGTCCATAGTGTCTGGGTATATCGTGTTGTGTCCGCTGATTGTCCGGCGGGTGACGAACGAGAAGTCCATTAAAGTCAAAGAACTGATGCGAATGATGGGAATGTCTGATTGGGTCTTCTGGTCCTCCCATCTCATCAATTATCTCATTGTCATGTCTGTCCACACATTCATATTTACAATGCTCTGGTGTTATGGCTTTCCGGCGATAGGTGTGGGCGATGGTCGGGCACTCTTTCACCTCATAAATCCCATCCTATTCTTCATAATTGTATTCATTTTCTGCATCCAAACGAATCTGTTTTGTATGGCTTTCTCCACACTATTCAACGGACCCGTAGTGTCCGTCATAGTGATGGTCGTCGTATACATCCTCATCTACGGCGTCGGTATGTTTTAATTGCACCCGTTTTTCACCCTCAAAGAGGACGACGCATACACTTTGCGACTCATTTCGTCGGTATATCCGACGTATGGTCTGACGTGGACTATGGCTTTGATCGGACGGTGGGAATGGTTTGGAGTCGGAGTCGGATTTAAAGAGCTCTTCTCGAAGGTCCCGTATATTGGCTTAGGATTAGGGGAAGTACTGGTCGTACAGATACTGTCGTGCCTTTTGTGGGCGTTTGTGATCTGGTATTTGGACGCCGTTTGGCCCTTTCAGTACGGAGTGCCACAACCCGTGTACTTCCCGTGTCAGCCCTCCTATTATTGGCCACAAAAGTCCCGTTCAGTAAAAGATGTCGAATCGACGGCCAATTCGGATGCGAATCCAAACAATGAAAGTCAACCGAAAGACAACAAAGTTATGATATCTTTGAGAAAGATATCAAAAGATTTCGGTGGCGGACGAGGGGTTAAAGACATGTTTTTAGATATCTTCAGCCAACAAATTACTGTTTTGTTGGGACATAACGGCGCCGGAAAGACCACTACAATGAATATGATTACCGGTATATTCCCTCCGACTTCGGGAACAGTTCTCGTCAACGGATACGATGTGATGACAGCCACCAGAGAGGCCAGAAAGAGCATTGGGTTGTGTCCACAGGTTTGTGATAATAAGAAGTTTTCAGATTTATTTATAACTTATTTTTACATTTTTAGGAAAATATTCTCTTCAATGACTTGTCTGTTGAACAACACCTCAGACTTTATACCGTTTTGAAAGACTTCCCGAAAAACAGTTAAATGCGGAAATCGATAGAGTATTGTCTGTCATCCGACTGACAGACAAGAAGTTCTGGAGAAGTACTTTACTGTCGGGAGGAATGAAATGAAGACTTAGTTTAGGAATCGCTATAATCGGCAGAACAGAAGTCTTGATACTGGATGAGCCGACCTCTGGATTAGATCCAGAAGCTCGCAGAGGGATATGGGATGTATTGCAAGAATTAAGACAAAAGAAGACAATACTATTGACCACTCATTACATGGAAGAGGCGGATGTAATCCCTTTGGTTGTTTAGAATTGAAATTTATTCATTGATTTCTTGATTTGGATTTCAGGTATTGGGCGACAGAATAGCCATTATGTCTGAAGGTGTCCTCAAATGTTGTGGATCTGCAATGTTTCTGAAGAAGCGATTTGGCGCCGGATATCACCTGAGAATCTCAATGTCAGACAATTATAACAAGGAAGCGGTCGATGAGATACTCAAAAGACATTTACCCGACAGTCGTCTTCAGAGCGAAATCAATACTGAAGTCATTTATTCACTCGAATCGGAGAACACATCCAAACAAACCGATAAAAATGTTTTCCCGAAACTGTTTGACGAACTCGAGAGTCGGAAACAGGAGATCGGTATCCAATCGTTTGGCATAACTGTGACCACAATGGAAGACGTCTTCTTGAAAGTGGGTTCCGATGGAGAGGTCGACCACAAGTCGAAGAATACTGAGACTAAGACAACGAATTACACAAACCTGATTGGATTTAAACTCATTTTACAATCAGTTTACGGTTTATTAGTGAAACGTTTTCATTCCAGTCGTCGGCATTGGTCTACCGTTTTGTTTCAAATCATAATACCGGCGCTTCTCTTCATTCTCATCCTCTATAGTGACGATAGTCTTAAAAACCGAGTCATAAACATGGAGTTAGCGGTGAAACTCGATTTAGAAGAACTTTATGGAAAGACATTTGGATTCTTCAAAGCAAATGACACCAATTCAGAAGACTTTGGCCTCAAATACTATATTCCAAACGCTAGAAGACATGGTAAGTCTGCAACGCTTCTGAAGACTGAGAGTCCAAACGAATGGCTGATAACTAAGTCTAAGAATTTCGAGGAATATGTTATGAAGTATACAATGGGAGCGTCTGCTAATGAAGCAACTGGATCCTTTTTACTGCAGTTGTGGTATAGCCTTGAGTCCACACTCTCTGCCGCTTTCCATTAATTTAATGTACGAATCGTTGGTTTAGTATTTTATACCACAAATGAGAAATGACTTCACAATTACCACAACTAATGAGATACCGAAACCCAAGAATGAGTTCACTGAAGAACCTGGATCCAATATCGCCAATGCTATCGTCACATGTATTCTTCTAATACCAATAGCCCTACCAATTCTGGGCGCCTCATATGTCGTGTATCCCATTCAAGAAAGGGTTTCAAAGTCAAAGTTACTTCAATTGATGACCGGTTTGTCTTCATTCACGTATTGGCTCTCAAACTATTTGTTTGATTTGTTAAACCATTTGTTGGCGATAGTCCTATTCATGTTAATTATCTATATCTGTGACATAAACTACATATTCTTTTACGATTCAGAGGCTGTCTTTGCATTATTCCTCTTACTATTCACGTTTGGATTGTCTTCCATAGCCATAGCCTATTGCCTGTCATTTGTATTCAGTTCTCCGACAATGGGTTTCTCATTATTACTCGTATTTTACTTATTGTTTGGTTTCATAATCTCTTCCTATTATTCGGCCGAATATATTGCACACATTTTTGGTTTTAAAGTCATTTCTCCATTTTCCTTTTCATATAACGAGAATATCCTTCAATTTATCTATCGATTGGTTCCCATATGTTCACTGAACTATGGGTTAACCAAACTGTACGGAAGGAATATCTTGAAAGAAAGTTGTGATAAACAGAAACAAGGTTTACCATGCGATAAAATCAGCACTTTATCCATTGATGGTATTGGTGTCGGTCGGGAACTCATATGTTTGGCCGCATCTGCGCTCATATTCTTAATCCTATTGTTTCCTGTGTGTTATCCTCACCTCTCACTCGATGGACGAATCGGAAGCCCTGTGCACTCGCATTGCTATTATGGTTAGGGGTTCCTTCAGATGCTTGGGATCCACTCAACAGCTGAAGTCAAAGTTTGGACAGGGATT